GAAGGAAGGAAGGAAGGAAGGGAGGAAGGAAACGAGATGTGGAAAGGATGGGAATTCTTCGGGGGTAAATGCGAGCGATACGGGAAATGCAATTCGTGATGGCGGCGTCGGTGGCGAGTCTCAACCTCGGGTCGACAGATAGATAGAGTCAAGATTCAATTAGCTCTAGCTGTCAGCTGCATGATACTCGTCGATTCAATACACCTTGTCGCTCGTGTGTGCCTTGGCTTACTGCTATGTGTATTTGCGATTGTATGCATGTGCATATAGTATATGTGTGCGTGTGCGTGTGTGCCGCGCCCTCGTTTATGTGCCTTTGCATTAACGCACGTCTGCACACGCGGAAAACCACGCAAATCTGGTGAATTTTGAATTCGGGAACTTGCTACGTACGGATAGAAAAGAATTTTATCTTGCGATTTTTCCAAACAATCGTGCAATCTTATAAAAAATGCGATATTAAGATCGTATTCTAAAGAAGAAGATGAAAATGGAAGAATAAAGATTAGACATTTCGAAATGTAGTTTAATTTTATCGAAAAGTGTAAAAATTGTAAATATATAGTATTATGCAATTTACATAATTGACTTTTATAATTAGAAAGAATAAAAAGTGTGAAAAAAGAAAAAATGAAGAATCTATTCGTATGAATTATGTCGTATTCTTAACGTAATTAGATATAATATGACAAATATTGGATTGCACTTTTGCGAGGCCGCGTTAGCAATTGCAATTAGCAAGCTTTAATGTTCGCGTATAAACTCTTTTCGAGATGTAACACACGTTGTTTATTCTTCTGTTGTCGCTCCCTCGCGCTGCCTTCGATTGAATTAATTGAAACGATTCGACCGGATTCCGATCCGACTCAAACGTCGCGTTTCGAATTCATGAAAGAACGCGAATGGCAATGGGGGGAGGGGAAAGGTGGAGGGAGGTCAAAGGGGGATGGCGGGCTCTAGTGTGAGTGTAGATGATGTAGGTATCACTTATCCGGGGGCCAGAGCGATACCAGCCATTTTCAATTTATTTCAAGTGCCTTTTCGCGGCGGAGAAAAGAAGGGTGCCGCACCGCCGCCGCCGTCGCCGCGTCTGCCCGGCAGGAGAGATACCTCTATACCGTCGCTATCTCTCCTCCACCTTACACCGCCGCATCGCCGTCGATCTCGCGGATTCGACACGGCGATATTAAGGTTTAAGAGTCATACATCGACTCGCGTGCCCTCGCGCACTCCTACGACATTCGATCGGTGCGAACGATCGTTGCGTCGTATGAACCAAATTAAGAAAATCCTTTTTTTTTTTACTTTTATTTACCGGAGCAGATACTCTGATAAATGTAAGTGACAATGCGTTATAACATGCGCTTATACAAAATGTTGAAAGATGGTATTTTGATATTACCTTTTACCAACACCCCTATTAGAAGTTATAACAGATTGAAATCGACTTCGGAATTCGGGTATAATTAATAAGCGGTGCGAGTTTTTCCTTGTGCAAGCAAATGCTTCAACTTTCTATTTTTTATTATCGAGTTTCGCACCGTCGCATCCCTTCCTTCATCATAAAGCCGGCGAATAAATAAAACGAAAGCCGTGCAGCGCCCGCGGAAAATATTGAATCCCATCGCGGGTGGGTGCTGGAGAGGAGAAAGGAGGTTCGGGAGGAGGCCAACCCGACAGATGGAAACGCGAGAGTTGTAAAAAATAACGCAGTTAATTAGCAGCGAGCAGCCACTTTAGCGGACTCGCGCACACTGTTAACAAGCGCGGAGAATAACTCGTGCAAACGCAGAAAAAACGCCTTCGAACGCGAAGCAACTGAAACGCACGCGAAAAAAAACCACCCAGACTTCTTTTATTTCTGCTTACTTCCCTCTTTTTCTCGTGACTTTCCTGACGATTCTTCGCACTCTTTATGCATTTTTTTGTGCATGCACACTTTCTCTCTCTCTCTCTCTCTCTCTTAGCTACAATTGTGAGTTTTATTTGCTGTTATATTGTTAGTAAGTGAACTAAATGATATAACAAATACATCTGTTAAAATTACCATTAATATTAAAATTATAAGGATAATTTGTAATTGAGCATTACGGTAATTCTCAATAAACTCCATGTATTTTTTGCATAAAACAGTGCTATAATTAATAGTAAGATAAGAAGTGGAGACTTTCATATAACACGACTAAATTAATTTTATTTTTAACAAATTTTTTAGACAGAATGGATAGAATATAAATATATATAAATTTTACAATATAAAAATTTAACAAAATATGTTATGTATAATATATCAGAGTTGCTAGTTTACGTGCGTGCACGTTGCCTACAAGGAAGTCGGAAGCCCTTTCTTCCGAGGAGAGAGAGAGAGAGAGAGAGAGAGAGAGAGAGAGAGAGAGAAAAACAGAGATTCCGGATCTCACGAGCTGTCACACGCACAATCGCGAAAGATAGAGAGACAATTCTCTTCTCCGGGACGCAACCCTTTCTGTGGTTTCCCTCTCCCTTTCTTTTGGACAATGATCCGAGGTGAAAAAAAAAGAGGAAAGGAAAAATTGAATTTGCAACATCAGTAAACGGCCATAGCGTCACTCCGCTCCTGCACCGCAATCGAGAAGGAACGAAGAGCAAAAAGAAAGAAAGAAAAGAGGGATAGGGAAAAGGAGTCTCCGGGAGAAAGATGAAGAAGCGGAGCGGGCGCAAGATAGAAAGAGAGGGCGTATCGTGTTTCACGCCTGGCGGATTCCGAACCGTTTGAAATCCAGGTGGAAATAATACAACTTTGTGTTCCTTGTTAAGGATCAAAGAAAATCTACCCCCCCAATCTCAATGTCGAGACTCTTGGCTGGTCTCTCGCCAACTCTCCGCTCGCCTCTCTGCGCCTTGTCCTTCGGGAAACTTATGCAAAGCGTTTGCTCACTGTGTGCTTTATTTAATAGCTTTTAGTAATAATGCACAGAATGGTATTGATGGAATCTTTTTCGATTTATCGTTATGTTTGAAATTTTAATACTAAGCTATATATACTAGTGGATAATTATAGAGTTTACGTTTGCATAATAATTACAAAATACTATAATTTTTATTATTATTTAATTTTCCACATTGCATTGCCAGCATTAGTCATGTTCTATACTATTTGTATAATATTGAGTTTGATATTTTGTATCATATTTTGTAAAAAAATCATGTTTATAAATATAAAATACCAAAATATGTTATCATAGTATTTAATTTATATTTTATAGTAAACAAAAATTGCAGTTTTCCTCTATGATTATATTAAATATATATTTCATTGCATGTCACCAGTGATAGAAATTAAAAAAAAAAAATATGTATATAATTACAAGCTACGTAATTTCTTCTTTTCTCTGTACAGCGCTTCCTTCTGGACTGTAAAAAAATGTTAGCATAAATAATTTCGCTATATACCATAATCTTGGCTTATTGAAAGAACATACATTAATTGAATGCATAATTAAAAGAGAAATAAATTAAACAAAACATTACTTTATGATTAAAAATGCAAGATGTACAGATAGCTACTTACTGTAAGGATCAAAGCAGAGAAATTCTAATTTGTCAGCCAATCTCTCGCGGATACGTGTCATCTGATGACCACTTATAACACTTTCTACGATGACTAAAATGTTTCTGTAATAAGAAACAACAATAGATATCTTTTAACTGATAATACATAACGCATCGTGTCTTATTTTTTCTGAACATATTTTATTTAATAATTAATATTTTAATAAAAGTTACGTTGCAATGTTTAATAAAAGTTAATCTTCAGCATTTCACACAGCAGTCATTTATTTTATTCGTATTAAATAGCAATTTTTCTGAATATATCATACTTTTATCCGTCAATATTCTAACCTTAAATTTTCGTTAAACCGTTTCATTAACTTCACTTACTTGCTCTTTGCTTTCTTCCAAAGCACATTTGTTAAGAACATGGTTCTAAAGAGTTCTTCAATTATATGATTTAGAAAATCATATATACTTTATGATACATAAATATTAAATAAATACTAGTTTCAACACGATCAAACCTTAGAATTCAACCTGAAAATGTGTAAAGCGCCCTCTGCTGAAACGGTCAGCAGACTAAAATTGTAAGAATGAAAAAATCTTTATTATCCATTCACACATATGATCACAAACATTGTATCGAGCATTCCTTTACGTAAAGGGTATCGTAAAAAAACTGCACAAAAATTTGTATAAATTTTTATTGTATCAAATTAGTGTATTAAAATTTGCATGAGCAATTTCATTTCAACAAAATTTTGTGTATATGTATGTGTGTGTGTATGTGTGTTTGTGCAGAATAGTTATCTACATTATAAATGATTACTTTTTCCAATAGTTTTATTTAAAAATTATAATATCAAAAACAGTGCATACGAAGCAATCACTAGCAAGTTTTTTGCTTCAGAAACTTGAATAATTTTATATATTATAAATGATTTTGAATAATTTTTTTATACAATTTCAACTCCTGGCATGATATAACACATTTTATCGAATAGTCCTTTATCAATAATAAAATAATCGATTAAATAAGAAATCAAAATTTCTAGTAAAATTGAAAAATTAGATATAAGAATAAGATAATGTATGTGTTTCTATTTCTTACATTTCATTTCATATTTTCACATCCAAAAATACACTTATTTCCGTTTCTACCAATACAGTTTAAATTGTCATTTTTTTTTATTAATTCAGATGTAAATATATAAAACTAAGCATTTCTAACTTATAAAAGTGAGTTTTATTATTAGGTGAAAATACAGTATCTAAATATAGTTCATGAAACGTGCAAGTCATGACCCTATCTTGACTTTATCATCAGCTAAAATTTCTAATTGTTTGATCACTTTAGCAAGCTCAATGTTTTTATCTAATTTCAGATAAGTTACCTTTCGTACGTTGTGTATACTGATCCATGTAGGTAATAATTTGCACAATTGTCGTATATGCTCTTCCATGTCTTGCAAAGTTAGTTTTGTTCTGTAAGAATTGTCTAACTTTTGTATCACCGCCTCCATTGTAAGGATGCCTTTTTTCTCTGCCACAAAAATATTACGGAGTAGCTTTGCAAACTCGGGAAGTCTAGAGTATAATGCAGCTTCTTTATCCGCGATTGGTGTTCTCGTCATTGCCTCTAACGCCTTGGCTGCTTGCTTAGCACGAACCTTATAATTCATAAAACACAATCAAATACATGTTAATAAAAGAATGTATATTGTTAATGAAAGCATGTAATATTCTTACCTTCTCAAGCAGAGCCTTAGGAATGCCTTTAAATAACGTGCTATGATGATTGGTCTGTGTGGATGGTGTAGCTGGTGGGGTATCCACAATAGTAATATTAACCTTCGGTACACCATCCTCTGTGGTGAGCGTTGTAGAATCTTGTGTAGAAGATGGGGATTTGGATTTTAAAGTTAATTTTGCTTCCGCTAGTCTCTGCAATGCTTTCTCCATGCGTGTACCACAATTAAACAAAGATTTAGCTTTGTCTGTAAAAAAATAAAAAAAATAAAAAAAATAAAAAAAAAACAATTATGGAAGAGAAAAAGCAATAAATAAAAAATTTAAATATATATTAATAAATTATAATGTTGTGTTTGCGAATAAATCTCAATAATAAAACAAATGCTTACATATTCTGCTAATAACTTGATCCTTTCTAAGAGATATTTTAAATCCATTTTCTATAACTAATTTATTAAATAAAGATCGAGTTGAATGACGCATCATGTAAAGATGTATAATGTCAATGCTTAAATATTACAAGCAGTACCTTTTTATACCAAACGTGTTATGTGCTGATTAATCAACAAAGTCTTGCAACACTAAAGCTGAGTAGAAACCAAATTTCGCAAACACGCAAACGCATTATTTATTTCTCTTTTGCAATATTTTGCCCTACTTACTGTTTTTCAGATTAAGTTATATCATTGCATTCATTTATATAAACTATATAATACAAAAAATAATATTTTTGTTTCGTTCAAGATTCCTATTTTTACCAATATAATTCAACATCGTAATTCTTACCCAGAACATCTTTAGCAGATGGCTTTTCAACCTGAGGTGGTTGCGGCAATTCGGCTTGTTCAATTTTCTTGCAAGACTCCACATCAAACTCTGGATGCCAGCGCATTATTTTTTCTCTCGGTATATTCGTTAATTTTGGATTATCAAAACTTAACAAAAATTTCTCATGTTCGTCCTTTACTCTCTCTGTAACATAAAAGATTTGAAAACTATAATACATCCAATGGTACAATTGTAATAGATAAATCTGTTTCAGATAATACCTAATAAAGTATTGTAAAATTTCTTTCTTCTTTCCAGTAATACTGTAGGATTCATGCCATTCTCAGATGCGGTCTTCAGTACATTGTTTGCATCAGGCATTATACTGCCACTACTTGCTTCAACTACAGGTGTCAACACTAGTTCATATCTTTCTTGCTTAGATGTGGAACCAAAATTTCTATGCTTCTCTTGCTGATAATTATATGCATCAGGATAAATAGTCTTTATTTGAGCCAAATGTTCTTGTGTGAAATTACGTCGCAACAACTCTTGAACTGCAGGTTTCAATTTATTGAATGTTATCAATTCTCTTCTATTAAACAGCATTGCTGACACCTAAAAAAAGCAAGTCGCATTCTGCTATTAACCCAATATATATAATATAATAAAAATATTTGCATAATTTAAAATAAAGATATAAACTATGTTAAAATAAGTTATGTTTGTAAAATAAAATTATTACCGTATCCATACATCTGAATACTTCAGCCAAGAATCTGTAGCTATATGGCAATGCCAATCCAGGTATTTCACTTTCAGCTAATGATAGATATCTTTGATATGCTTTAGTAGGACTGCATTTCAGTGGACTTGACGTTGTTTCTTTAGGCTCGAATAAAAGTTGCCTTTGAGGACTGGCTTTCGAAAGATCTCTATCCTTGATTGGAGTTGACAATGCCTTGGTTGGAGATTTGTGTCCCTTTTGTGGACTTTACATAGAAAAAGAAAAAAAATAATGCCAAACCTTAAGATTAATTAAATTGTTAGATTGTGGTAAGATTCTTACCTCACAAGAATTTCAAGTTCTATCTGTTTGAACTTCTGCATCTGAGGTTTCGTAGTGTCATCTTGCTTGTGCAGCTGCTCTAATGCTTCATCACATTTAGCAATTCGTTGCATTATGGCTTTCATTTCCGCCAGCCTGGAGGATTTTTTAATTCTGTTTTTCACATCATTGAAACTTAAATTTTCATTTTTTGCTAGTCTTTCCATTGTTGAGATTTTTGATGATGGTGGAGTAAGCGAACCAGCAGCAGGTTGTTCATTCTCAGCCTTTTGGATTACATCTTCCTTTGCAAAAGTAGAACTCTTTTTAGGAATTTGCTTTTTCCTCGGGCTAAGCGTACCTTTTTTCTCAAAGGGCACTTTCTTAATTTCTGTAGGGTCGCCACTCATCTTCAATAAGCTATCCCTAATATCTGCCTGGCTTCCATCTGTGGAAGATAACGTGCGAGAACGTGTGACTCGCGCTCTAGGCCTATTTACTTTATCAGGACTTGCTTTCAGAGAATCGAACCGAATATTGCGCACTACTTTGGTGGTACGTACATTTTCTTGCAAGTTCGCAGGAGGATCTTTCAGCACAATTTTTGGACTCGTTTCTGTACTCTCCTCATTTAACGTAGACTGTTCCGAATTTTCAGTATTCATCGAAGTTTGACTACTCGAGTTATTCCGCTCCAGCAGCAAAACCTTGGATTTACTGTGTAATTCATCGTATGCCGGTCGTTTATTTTTACGTGTATTAAAATATGCCGTTACCAATGGTTGCGACATGATCTTTTATACGGATCACACAAATGACAAACGTAAGGTTATCTTCGAAATGTTACCTTCGAAAATACACTGGTCGCCCGAAAGCCCGCCTTTTTACCTGCTTGTTCTGTTGGCGCGAAATGTCGTTCGTCAGCTGATAGCGACAAATATTGGCTGCGTTCCGAAATTCACTGCCAGTACTGAAAATCTACAATATACGTTACGTAAACTATAGATTTTCAGCACTGACAATTAATTTCGGAACACAGCCCTAGTGAACATTGTAACAAGCCGCGTTCTTATGCAGGTGCGGTAATTTCATTGAGTATATTAAGCCGGCATCAGGCTGCACAATTTGTTGCAGCAATTCGCATGCGATCTAGTAAATTACTAGAAATGCTGTGTGCTGTATGGTGCATTTTTAGTAGTTTACTAGATCGCATGCGAATTGCTGTAAGCTGCACAGTCTCATGCAAGCGTAATTAATAGAAATATGTAAATATTTCGTTATAAAAAATATGGTTAAATAAAATAATTTAATGCAATATTGCTGCATTTTTATATTACACGCATAATTGAACAATGTTCTGTTTATATGCATTATGTAATTTATATAAATTTATCTGAATAAATCCTAAAAAAATATTAAAATTTTCAAAACTATGTAATAATGTATATACGTAAGGAACTTGATTAACTTGCTAATTATATATTTACATATATGAAATTATGCAATTTGCTGTTTGTAACTTCTTATTTTACGGGTATATAATCTAACCTATTTCTGTCAATATCCTAACCTAGCCATAATCTTATTTTAATGTAATAATACTTTTTTTATTTTCTATTATTGATATATTAAGCTTACACAATTTCAACATAGTGTGTAGTTTATATATATAATTTATAAATTACAGATTAAATCATCCTATAATCCTGTAATATTTTCTCTTCTCGGAACCAGAGCAACGTAATTATGGTATGTTCTCACTGATGGTTTACTGTAATTTACCTTATGTGCAGGTAGAGTATAACTAATAGTAAAGTTAGATATTAAAATTTTTTAATAAACTATTATTTATTGTAGAGATTATTTATTTATTGAATATTTATTGTAGAAATTCAATTTTTGAGAGATGTTTTTTTCAGATAGATATGCAAGTTAAAATCCAAGTAATGTAATACTTAAAATAGTCAATAATGATATTTTATATTTCAGGCGATGAATATTGCAAGAAGTATGGGGTTTATCTTTAGTAGAATAAATCACCTAAAAGAACGTTTATTTTCGTCTAAAAATTTATTGTACACAAATGTAGGAATATCAATTTCTCTTTCTGGTATAGGAGATGTTTTAGAGCAGCATTATGAGATATTAAAGGTTTGTTTTAACCATGTGCTTGTAGTATTTTATTATTCTTTTTTTTTTATATTTAATTACTTTTGTATGTATTAGGGTGAATGGAATAGTTGGAATTTTACCAGAACAAGAAATATGGCTATATCTGGTATGTTTATTGGGATAGCTTGTCATCACTGGTACAATTTCTTGGATGCTAAAATGGCTGGACGTACCATCGGTATAGTTTTAAAAAAAGTGATTGTAGATCAGTTGATTTGCTCACCTCTTTGTATAAGTATACTTTTCTTAACGCTAGCAGTGCTAGAGAACAATAGCTTAACAGAATTAAAAGATGAGATCCAAAAGAAAGCACATAGATTATATATAGCTGAATGGGTTATATGGCCTCCAGCACAAGTCATCAATTTTTATTTTCTTCCCACGCGATATAGAGTGCTTTATGACAACACAATATCTCTTGGTTATGACGTATACACTAGCCACGTGAAACATGATAATAGTTGATGCTATCTTCTCTAATAATTTGCGAAATTACAAATATATATATATTAGGCAAATAAATAAATTTAAATAAATATCACTTTTGACAATAAGAGGTTTTTTACAACAAAATTTCTAGCAGTTTTTAACAACCATTTTCCCGCACAAAATTATGGTTTTGTAATATCTATTTATATATTTATCACAGTATATTGAATATATTAGATACATTAGATACATGTATCTATTATAAAACAAAATAATTTTGTGTAATTGTAAATTATTAGTAAAAAAGTAAGTTATACAAATAAACAAAAAGTCATATCTTAAATAATTTGAATAAAAATGCTACTTAACGCTAGAATAATTTTTGAAATACATTATGTGATATGCATTTTTCTTATTTTATCACTTTTTATAACAAAAGCTTGATACATATCTATTTAAATTTTTTTAAATTAGGCTATAATTATAGTGATGGAATTTCAAGATTTTTACTTGCAAATTTTTAAGCAAATCAAGAATAACCGAAAATAAAAAGTTTCAAAACATCTTGCAAGACTGTTTTGCATAAAAAGTTTTGAATGTTTGAATGTATTAAATATTTGGAATAATATAATACACAACATACACACATGTATTATAGATATTCAAGACTTTTCAAACTTTCAAGTCTTTTTCAAAACTTTCAATCACAATAAATTTTGCAAAACGTTTTTAGACTTCTTGAGCTTTAACTCAAGATGTCTTGAGACGATTTGAATCCCATCACTAGCTATAATATGATATGAAACTCTTTTCGTACTTTGCACATTAATACTGCTCGATTGATTTTTGATTTTTATGAAGATGATGCTTCCAATTTTTAAAACATTCCATCATGAATGCCAATAGGTACCAATACAGCTATAAATAGCAACAGATTGCGAGCTACCAGTTTCCAGTCATTCGGTACCGCATACGGTGCCAAAACGTGTGTCAATCTATGAATCTAAAAGACAAATATTGCATCAGAAAAAGAATATATTTTTATTGCTAAAATTAATTTTTTTTTATTAATAGTAGAAACAACGCGTATATTTACTTCATGACTGGCGCAAATGAAAATAAACGATGTAACCAACAGATTCAATACTGGGAATCTAGGTAATAGCACAAGCACTCCATGTGAATCTGCTGCCAGCCATATGTGACCTTGCGCAACCAAAGTTTCCAGACTTATTCTGCCTAATCCAGCTAAAAGTGCAGAGTGTTTTCCCCGTAATGCCAACGATGCGTTGCGGAGAGCGATGTATCCTATAATCTAATAGCCAGTACATTAATAACAAAATAACGATAAGAATATCAGTAAATACGAGAGTATAGAAACGAGAATATATGATAATAAATAATAATATATTTAGAGTATTTTACCGGAATAAAAGCGACGTAAGAATGAATTTCTTCGCACTCTGATACAGAGTGGCACAAGATTGTAAAGGTGGTGTATGCTATTAAAGAAATCAATGCCAACACTGACGACAATGCAGTTCCTGGAATATGATCTATTCTCTGAAGAGCGACGAGACCAGCACCGAAAGTTAAACCCCAGACTACACTGTATCTGTCCACCCTCCAGCGAGACCACCATTCGCGAATATCGTCGTCAGTCGTCACAAATAACGCCTTCCAGGGCCTTGTGACGAAAACTTTCTCAAAGAACACCTGCGCTGATAAGACACGTTAAGACACATCTCAAAACTTGGATGTATTTTACAAAAACTGCTTATTACCTCTGACATATATAATATGGTAATTATTGACACGAGACCCAGGAGCTTTAAAGCAAAATAAAGCAAGGCCCTCGGCCCGTATTCGGCTAAACTTCCAGAATATATTCTGGGCGGCAACCAGGCTAAGAAGTAAATCACAAGAAACCAGAACGATACCAATGGTACAAAGTGATAGAATTGATACGGCCTGTTCATGCACAAACATAAGGATACTGTTAATAAATTCAATCTGAACATGACCTGGAACACAACAATCAGATTCAATTTTAATCGAAATAATTTTAATAATTTAAATTTATTTATGTATTATATAATCTTTTTTTATACGTACTCTGGCAAATCTGACAAGAGATACGTCACCAGTTTGCCAAAAGTAACAAAAGTGTCCGTATCCAGATAAAAATAAATAGGCAGAATTAATTAATCTTAAGTACATGTAGATCGGTAAGACATTTTTGGCACCAGTAACATGGTATATAAGCACAACTGCTTGCATCAAGCCTCTCCATTCATCTGTTTGCTCTCTATTCAATGCTCTTGGTCCTCTTTCACGATCTTCAGTAAAAAATAATCCAAGAGCTAAGATGTATCCAAGTGGTAGCCAAAAACTGAATTCACTGTAATACTTATTTTCTTTCATAAAAAAATTTGTTCTGTAAAAGAAAAAAGCGGCAGAGAATTAGTTTAAAGACACGATAAAATCAAAATGAAACACATTATTACTTACCTATCGCACAAATAAAAATAGGCTAATATAATAGAGAAGAGAGCTAATGATGTGACAAGAGTGTAAAAATCTTGTACTTCAGGTTGCTTGATTTGAACGATTTCCGAAGTACCAGCTTCTTCTGTATTTTCTATTTCCTCAGTGGTAATATGAGAATATGGTATTTCTGAACGATACTTGCATACTTTTCTGTACAGCCATATTCCTCCTCCTATTGTTATGCTGTAACAAATTATCATTTATATTTTCTTGGAAAAGAAGACGTATTATAAACGTGCAAATAAAAGATTAAATACTCAATTACAATAATGCAAGTGCAGACAGACTTAACAATTGTAGAGTAGTTGCTGGTTCGGGATAACTGCAACAACTACCATCGTCAAAATTCATATGATCATTGCAATATGTGTTTAATAGTATTTGAACTTTATGACGAAGTGACAGTGGGCTAGCCAAATAACCATCCGGACTTTGTTCAAGAACACCCGTGCCAACTAGTTTGCTGCTTTGCCATATACGAGTCTCACTATGAGACAATATCTGTATGTTACAGTTATGGAGTATTTATTTTCTTCTTTATATCGTCGAAAAGATGAACGATGTTTCACAATAATATACATCAATACCTTCTCAGCTGCTTTGTTGCACAAGTTAATTTGTTTGTTGTCTAAACTCGACAATTGCGCAGGTAATCTTTCTTTGAGTACAGGATCTTGCAGCAGCCATAAAAATTGAGATCCCTTTTTAGTCAAAAAATCCACTGGTTGTACCAGACGAATTAAACCTGTGCTGTATTCGGAATAAAGCTGTGTATCGCTATTATTATTTGCAAGAATTGCAGCTACAGCGGAACCCGCGACAATAATACTAGGCGCGTCTGTCTTCTGTGTAATAGCAGATATATATAGATTATACTGTTATCAATTATGATTTTATACATATCTATGTACTATAATACATAAGGTGTACATGTTACCATCCAGTCTCTAAGATCTGCTAGTATAGAACCATCAAGTTGTGGTCTCCATAGGAACTGTACATTCAACTTAAGCTGACCATCGTTGAAGCCCAAGTCGGAGTTTTCTGGCAAGTCCATAAGATCTGATGTTTTGCCATCAATTACAAATTGTGAAACAAAAGATTTGTACAATTGTCTTATTCTAGCATCACCAGTAAACACAAAATGATTATGGTGGCCCATGAAAGCTAGATATCTCATACATCTTCTGCTGTCTCTGTAAAGAGATAATTTTCTTACATAAAAATTAATCTCTAAAATAAATTAAACATAATAATATTACGTTTGTGTGTAATGATGCATCATGCATCCATAGGGTTGCCATTCTTTGTCTCCTTTGTATCTGCCTTCTGTCAATAACCACTTGCAAGAATCGCTACCTATAGAAATAAAGTCTTAGTTATATAAAGTATATTATTGATAGTAATCTAAAAAATAAAACTTTCCTTTGAGAAAATTAAACAACCACTAAAAATATTACAGAATAACTATTTCTTATTAACAAAAATTATGACAATTTGCATATTTCAAAACTATTGATAACATATGAAATAAACAAATCAATAATTCAATAAGTAAAATATTTTTTATCATACCATAAATAAGATGTATAACTCCATGATATATAATAAAACAGACAACAAGCGCAGTGGCTAATTTCTTTGCACTTGCTACTGTTATGAGACTAATAAAGTATTCTGCTGATGTCATGAAGGACTATGATTACATTGACACTGCAAAATAAAACAATTAATACAATCTTGTTCTTGCAAGCTATACGTTATAATGCTTATATTTCTATATATATAAATATGACTCAGATGTGCATTTTGTATACCTGAATGTGCAATCAGATACTTCTTACATAAAAATGTATTGTTGCAAATGTATATTAAAATATATTTACGTTGCAAATATCTATTTACGTTGCAAATATCAATTTATCGCTGTCTGACGCACTACTTAAAATATTATTATGATTCAAAGTTTTTAACATTTAGTTTTATACATCGAACAACCGATTAAAATGATATGAAAATATCGGCAATATCAACACGATTTGCAATTAATACGACAAAATAACGTCACAACTGGAGACCTTAAGATCAGTGACGCCAGATTTGAGACGCAAGCAGCATGAGGAAAGGAATACCGCACACATGCGCAAGCCACGTACATGAGCTTCGCGCTTCGACTAGCTTCGGACAGTAGAAAAGAGCAGACATATTATTTCTGTCTCCTTTCTTACGCTCAATTTTAGCCAGAATTTTAAATAATTGTTAACAGGAACACATGATGAATATAGGAACTCACTCGGAGCAGTGTCATTTATTTATTGATTAGCTAAAGCAACATTACAAATGCATTGTTGATAAGAGTATCAACTGCACTAGTCGATGAAACTAGTCTTTTTACGTTGTTTTTAGGACATTCTAAAAATGTCTTTTTAAGAACGTTTTTAGAACGATGCAAATGATGCAATTAGCCGTCTTGTGGCGTTCAAAAATTGAGAATTGCATAAATAACTCACAATCATTATTGAATAAATACATCATGACTTAAGATTTATTCAGACAACAAGCGTCACTACGTAATGCACATGCATCAACGTTGCGTTTAATAAGCACAACTGTGTAAAACTGTGTGTAATAATTGTCTGTGATTGATGCATATATCTGGATCTGCAAGAATGTACCAATCACTGGCGAGTAAATATCTTTAGGCTTTACAACGAACTACTAATGAACGACCACGATTAAATATTAGATTCTTTTACTGCACTTTTTGCACTTTCTGCACTCAAAACGAGCAAATGGACGAATTTACACTTTGGAGTGATGAAGAGAGAAAAGGTGAAAGATACATAGGAAATACGTCTAACGTGCATCTAGGTATCAATTGCGTACACGCAATATAATAAAAATTAGGAAAATGAGCAAAATTCACATTTATTGACCAATAAATCATAAATGCTCTAGTAAATTCGTTTACTTAGTACTTTTTACTACGTCCCGTGTAACCTATTTAAAGGGCGTTTCGCACTTATTGCACTCGCTGCGCAGCATCGAAAGAACCACTTCGTTGATTGGCAATCGCACACGGTTCCGTGACATTTGCGATTTTGATGTCTGCCTGTACCGTTGTGTAGGTCATATGATTCTGTCAATCGGCATTACGCGAAATTGTCAGTGTACGCCAATTGTCCGTTAGTATCAGCAATTATCGGGCGCGTTTTATACATACGTATGCGAGTGAGTGCAGGCGACCAGACAATAACGCAGCGGTGAAAAACAACGCAGGTTCTACACGCTCCGAGAAAATGTCACTCTTTGGAGTGGGCAACCCTTTTTCCACTCCAGTAGGACAAAAGATCGGTAAGTGTTCGTTTATTTACGTTGCACCGTTAATTAGATTATATCGAGCGTACTTAGCGTAATTGTCTCTGATATTAGAAATCATTCAGTTGCCAAGGACTCATAAGTATTCTGACACAATTTCACTTATTTCTCGTTTTAATGGATTATTCGATTTTAAATAAAAATGTCACGCCTTAATTACTAAATAAATTGCAGCTATAATAAAGAATTTTGCATCTATATTATTCTCTGCATTCATATTTGCTTTCAATGTTGCTTTCACATTTCAGAATCCGCTACAGATGGCAGTTTACCAAGTGAGAATTGGACACTTAATATGGAAATATGTGATATCATAAACGAAACCGAAGATGGGCCAAAAGATGCTATTAAAGCGATCAAGCGCAGACTCAATCAAGCAGCGGGCAAAAATTATACCATAGTCATGTATACACTTACCGTTAGTATTTCAAACTATTAATAATATTGCTTGCATAGAACTAATATCCAATATAATAAATTTATCCAGTTAACTTAATTATCTCACTTTTACAAAATATAGGATATATGTTTTGTGTATCTTTATAACACTAGTATTATAAATACTAGAAATTATTTGAAAATACTAGAATTATTTGAAATTCTTGATCTTTGGTCAATTTACACAATTATTGTCAATTAAACTAGCTCTATCACTATATCTATGAGAGACATATGATAGCGTCTCTAACACAAATTACTATGAATATAGTAATACTGTGAATCAGGATACTTGCTGTCATGATTACAGAAGTTATAAATTATTGTCACAATGTTATTTGTATAATAGGTGTTGGAAACATGTGTGAAAAATTGTGGGAAACGCTTTCATACTCTTGCCTGTTCAAGAGAATTTGTGCAGGACTTAGTTAAACTAATCGGTCCCAAAAATGAACCACCAACTGCAGTTCAAGAAAAAGTCTTAAGTTTGATTCAAACATGGGCAGATACATTCCGTCATCAGCCACATACTCAAGGTGTGGTGCAGGTTTATCAGGAATTAAAGATAAAAGGCATACAGTTTCCAATGACTGATTTGGATGCTATGGCGCCAATCATCACACCTGAGAGAGTAAGATGTCTTTTGTTTAAATAAAATTACATTCTCTTTATTTTGTTTAAACTAAAAAATGTTTTTTTTTTAATAATATCTTGTAGAGTGTACCTGAAACAGAGCAAATTCCGACAAGCTTAGCTACAAATGAGCAGTCTGCTTCATTGGGAACGCAACATTTACCACCCCAAGTATCACAATCTGCTGGACAGTTAACTCAGTTGAATGAACAACAAATGGCGAAATTACAAAGCGAGCTTGATGTTGTTCAAGGAAACATGCGCGTATTATCAGAAATGTTGGCGTACTTTACAAGTCCGGATCAAAATAGTAAACAGCAACCAGATCCCGCAGATCTTGAGCTGTTAAATGTAAGTATTATGTTCTTTGAACTTATTTATGAAAATTTCCGAATTATTTTTTCTCATATATTTGTTTTTTACTTTATGAAACTAAATTTCTAATATATTCAAATAATTGTTTGTAGGAACTTCATTCAACATGTAAGGCAATGCAGGAACGTGTTGTCGATTTAATCGGTAAATTGGCTCACGACGAAATGACAGCGGAATTGTTGCGCATTAACGATGAATTAAACAACCTGTTTCTTCGTTATTCGCGTTACACGAAGAATAAAATGCAAGTACCTGCGAGTACTATATTAGCTCAAGCTATTGGGCATCCACCAAATGTTGAGTCAACTCCAGCTCTTACTAAAGCAGAGGCAGATTCACTTATAGATTTGTCCGACGATGTAGGTGATGTAACAAAACAGATGAAAGAACTTGGTAAGTGCAAAAGTTATAAATATTTAACATAAGATTGTACAATATATATATATAAAATCGTAAAATGGATCAGCTACGCATACACACACGCGCGCGAGCACATAGTGATTTATTTTAAATGACCATTTAAAATATTTCGGAAGAAATTTATTATAAAAAAAAAAAACATTTTAGACAAAAGTTGTTTGGTTTTAAGGCAATGAAAGAGTAAGGAGTCTTGCATTTCTTTCTAGAGATATTAGGTGGACATTTAAAATGAGTACATTTATATATTTTATTTGCACATTTTTCTTACGTCTGTACGAACTTTTCTCTAAATTGTTATTGTTTTATTTTTTTCTATAGACGCAGCTGAAGGCGTGGAGAAAAAAAGAGTGGACCAAAAGGAGAAAAAAGAAGGAGATAATGATGAATTTGATATGTTTGCACAGTCGCGCAATGCAACATATGAAAAAACAAAGAATAGGTATTGTATGCTATGCTTAAATAATTTTTTCATTTTTTAATTCTAAGGAAGTGCATAATTAAACATAAAATATTGTGTAATCGAAAATATGCTAAAAATCTTAATTTTCCTTAATTTTCCAACATAATATTATGGCATGAACAAAAATGGCAAGGCAAAGAAACACACGATTATACTAAATATTTAAATATTTGAAAAATAAATGACATTATAAAAAATAATATATATTTGTATAGATTAATTTTGCATTTAATAGTAATTTAATATTTTCAATTACAGTGGCAGCAAGTACGAAGATAATTTGGAGCAGGTGAGAGGTGGAGGTCTAAGTACGGCAATGCTCAACCGCAATAATCCTAAATTATCCCAGCCGACCGCTACTAGTGCTAGTGTGCGTAACATTCTTTTCTCTTTAAACTAATTATTTAAAAAAATTAATTATCGTTAAATATTCCCTATTTAACAAATTTTTCTAGAATCTTATTTCTTTTCATCAAGTATAATTAAACTAACTTACGTAAGAGATATTTACATACTTGAACAGCCACAATAATTATGTGTTATAAGTTTCTTATAAGGCAATTTTAAATGTATTGCAGAACAGATTGCACATACTATACTACAATTATTAAGGACTTATGGTCTTTATTAGAGCAAAAAAAAGTTATTAAAAAAAATATTTGAAATTGCCTTAAATAAGAATCGTAGATTAAATTAGGAAGCCATATACACGTACCAGAAGGGCTCAAGGTATAGTAATTTCCTTCGCAAATGCTTACATACGTATTACATTTTTTGTGATTTATCATATTTTTGTGATCACCATTGCATATCGCTTCTAAGCAAATCTTGATTTTTTTTGTTATTTATCTTAATTATATTACTTTTAATTGTGTTGAGCTTTGTGTGCATCGATATTACGATATATTATTTGCATTTCTTTGTCGTTGTGTTCAATGTTTTTGTTTATTTTTCGATACTTAGCAGAACCTGGAATCCGAATTCAATGAAATGGCGGCTTGGTTAGATCACACAGTAAGTATTGTGGAGATGTAAGTGAATTTGTTAATTATAGATAAGGAAAGAGAATGAAAATGAAAGAGAGAAGCAGATTTCTAAACATTGTAAGAATACTGATGTCAAGCAGCATAATTTATATTACAGCCTGGAGGACAAGGTGATCAGGAATCTTTGACATCGTCGGAATTTGAACGCTTCTTGGCGGAACGTGCAGCCGCGGCCGAAGCTTTGCCGACTCTTTCCACAGCCGCAACTGCCACCTCGAATTCTTCAGCTACCAGCAACCAAAACATCCAACGCCAAATTAACAAAGATCAAGACAAGTCTTTATTTGCTCTTTAAGTACCTTGAAGCTTTCTCTCTTTTCTCTTGCGAAACGGGAGGCTAAACTTATTGAGACTGTCGTGCTAAATTTAAATGGCACGTATCTCTTATTTTTCCCTCTAATCGCGCTCCTGTCATCGACAATTAAAAGTATCAATTTGTATTTTTCACATTAGGAGCTGAAATAAGATAGGACACACAAAAGGCGAGGGAAAAAGTACATAAAAGTACAGGAAAAAATGCTGTACGTGCTTTGTGCTTGTACGTACTTAATAATATAACTGGTATTGTGCAATCGTATTCGAGATATTGTTTCTGCAGTAAAATTGTGGTCATAATGTCGATAAGTTGCTTTCAAGTTGTTCTATGAAACATTACAACACTGACTATTATGTAACGATAGCATGTTAATAATTAATTTATGTTTGTACATAAGCAACAATGCGTCCATGAAAATATCCAGATCTTGCTATATTATAAATTTTGCCACAAGGTCGACAAATCAAGTGTAAGATCATATTTAGATCAAATTTTTGAATCGAGGCATGGATATTCGGATGAATGTCCGCTCGAGTAATCGAGATCTTATCTATATATTGACAAACTATTTTTCTATGTTGAAGTAAATTTTGTCTCAGCTGTTTGACATTCTATACAGAGATACATTCTACAGATTTATTATTATTTTTACTATTGTATAATTCCTACTATTGTAGAGACTATTTATAACTTATTAATGTATAAATTAGAAGCATGAATTTATTATTACCGCTATCATCATTATTGCAGTTATATAATAATATTATAAATAATATATTCTGAAATCGTGGTAAATTCAGCAGCAACATTGGTGATTAGAGGTCTATTTCTTCATATCCTATGTTTATAGTCCTGAAAAAGTGATATTTTAGCTTCCTCTTCAGAATTTTATCATTTATCTATCTTTAGTAATGTACTTCCTGTTTTATTTGCTTATATTTCTACTGTATTTATGCATACTTAGTACGAATAGGCGGTTAAAAAAAAAGTACACCTGCGGTGCCTGTATTGACTGAATTCGCAGTTAATAAGGATAATCTGTATCTCGTCACTTACGCAGAAAATAAAACTGTGCATCAGAACTAAGAACTATTTTGTTTTAATAGTGAAGATATTTTAGTAGAGACTTCAAAGTCAACTCGATTTTTTAAACAGAATACGTATAGTAGGGTATTGATGATTGAATCAAAGTAAAAAAATTTTGCCCATTTGCAAAACTCTAATCATACTTTACATTTGCAAAAAATACATTCTTAATAAACTAAACCTGTCACAGCTAGCCATTGAAGATATAATAGTAGGATGTAAACTAAATACTATTAATTACAAGAGGAAAAATTTAATCAGTAATATCATAAAACGAATGGAAAGAAGGATGAAATATTT